TTTTTCTTACAGCCGGATGGGACAGAACTGTTTCATTTTGTGGATGGATATCCATCTTGGGATGCCTATCTCACAAACATGATGGCAGATGGTTCATGGGGTGATCACGTGATTCTACACGGCGCTGCAAACTGTTTTCAAACGTGCATCCACGTGATCAGCAGTCTTCCACATCGCCATGACGTAATGATCTGCCCAGAGTATGATGTTACTGGTAGCAACCGGCTTGTGCTGGGTCACGTGTACGAGCTTCACTATGTTAGCCTTATTCTACAGAAAGGAGGTAAAGATGACCGATAATACTGCGATTCAATAATTTCTAACTCGCGTTATGAAATGGAAGACATTTGACCTTTATTGTGGCACCTTATTTTCAAACATGTTGGATGAAATAAGAGGTCTATTTTTTCTTATTACGGTACAATTAGCCGTTTCAATAGACTAAGTATTCATAACAAAAAATTTTCTGCCTCAAAAAATTCCTGTAGCACCCTCAATTACTTAAATAAATTACTGTAGTGTTCTTGATAGAACTTGGTTTTAAGGGCCACCACATGGGCTGCAGACTCGTGTAAATATTCCATCATTAGACCCTGTCATTAAACGCGATTATCTATCGTATCAACAATATAGTTAAAGGGGCATTCTACCACCTTAGAAATATAGCTTCGTAAGTATATCAATGTTACAACGGCTGAAGTTCTTGTGCACGCATTCATAAATTCCAAGCTGGATTTCTGCAACTCGCTTTTATATGGTCTTCCCAAGTATGCTATTAACAAGCTGCAAAGTGTCCAAAACGCTGCAGCGCGTGTGATTGCTTGCTTACGTAAGTTAAGTCATAATAGCGATACTCTAAAGGAGCTGCATTTGCTACCAGTGGAGAAAAGAATAATCTTTCAGATTAATCTTTTATGTTTCAAGATACTCAACAATTTAGCTCCTGGTTATTTAGTAGACCTTCTTCTTTGTTTATGAACCTGCGAGGTGGCTTCGCTCATCTTCATACGAATGGCGTCTCGTTATTAAACCCTATAGCTTCAAGACATACGGGGTTAAGGGCTTTTTCAGCCATTGCCCATTTTCTCTGGAACGATGTGTCTATTGATATTAGATCGATCGATGATGTGAATAAATTTAAATCTAAATTGAAGACCTTTCTTTTTAAGCGAGTTTACGATCTATCTTGGGTTTTGATTTTGCATTTTTGTGGCTATGTAAGGATTATATGTAAATGATTCTGGGATTTTTATTTTTTATCCGGACCTTTTTAAAGCATTGTGAAGCGCTTAGCACTGAAAAGTATAGGCACTATACAAATATTTTGTTGTCGTTGTTATTATTATTATTATTATTATTATTATTATTATTATTATTATTATTATTATTATTATTATTATGTGATCGCTTCAGAAATATTGTCGTTAACCTTTTTAACCTTAATGTTAGCATTCACATTCTCCGCACTGTTCACCATACATATCTTGTGTTACTGATGCTATTCATATGCAGCAACAATGGTGGGGTTCTCTTGTATATAAGAAGAAAGTAACAAAAAAAGTCCAGCTAAACTTTTGGCTTATAACTTGTCACACAAAATGAATGGGGCTCTTTTAAGGTTGGAATCTTCCTTTTTTTTAAGAGTGACATTTATTTCTTTTAATCATCACTTTTTTTTAATTTACAGGTCTTGAAAAAACCAAAGAAGGTGACGTTCCACAGAACGACTGTGAAAAAGATGCTGCAACATGTCCGATAGCAGGTATTGTAATTGTTTGCTTTGTCAGTTAAACCAAAGACTATTCGGGTGCTTTTAGCTTTTCAATGTTTAGTGTAGCATGTTCACGTAAACTGACGTAAAATAACTGTTTCCCTCTCCCGCTTACAGGCCAAACCATTTAAATTTACTGGAAATTTTAAACTTTACAGGTGTTGAAAAAACCCAAGAAGATGACATCCCACAGAATGACTTGGAAAAAGATGCTGCAACAGGACCGATGGCAGGTAATGTCATTGTTTGCTCTGCTAATTAAACCAAAGCCAAAATTTATTTTAGCAATAGAGTGAGGTTACTTTGTTCTTTTAAAACAACAGTAATTTCTCTGAAATTGTCGACTGCTTTAGGCATCAGACCAGTGCACTGTGCTGCACCTGTTTTATGGAACTCGCTGCCATTAACTATAAGAACAAGTAGCAGCCTCGCCATCTTTAAAAAGCATCTTAAAACATTTCTTTTTAGGAAAGCTAATAATTTACTAGAATAACTCTCAAGTTTAGTGCTTTGAATATTTTGATTTTAATTTTTTTTATAGAATTTTAGACTTTTATTTTTTAGCTTTTAGCATAGCATGGAATTCTCTTATTATTATTATTATTATTGTTATTAGTAGCTTTTTAGGAATTTTTTTAATTGTAAGTTAATGTTAAGCGCTTTTGAATATGTTATCGTTCTAGCGCTATACAAATTCTTCATCATCATTATTATCGTTATCACCATCTCCTATAAAACTGGCGTGAAATAACCTCTATCTTATTTTGTCTTTTTCACCTTCCGTTTACAGGTGAACCCATTTTCGTTGCACTTCAACAAATCCTGCTGGAAGCACGCATAGAGTCCAGCAAAACTAAGCTGTCGCAGACGTTAAAGAGGACTGCTTTGGAGAAAGGTTTTGCGATTTCTGACAATCAAGGAGAGGGGAACTGCATGTTTTTTGCACTTTCAGAGCAGCTTGACCTCGTCAAAGGAATTCAAATGTCCCATGATGAGTTACGCCGAACAATTGTTCAACACCTTCGGGAAAACCCCAGGCTGGTGAGTACCTTATTATTTTTGCTTGGATGAATTCATTTGCGAGCCGTTAGCCGTCGCATTTGCCCGTTGAATTTTTTCATTGTTCTTAAGGTTATAAGTAATAAGGCCCTGTCGACACGCAGCGTATTTGAATTATTTTTCGCTCGTCTACATAAAAACGCTGAAATGATTGAAATACGATAGCATCCCTCACAGAACAAACGCAGTGCTACTAGCCGATAATAAATGACATCGTCGTATTAGAAAACCTCTGTTTTTGTCCGTCCACACGTAAACGAAAAGTCGACGTTTTCAAAAGTCCACTCTGGGGACCGCTTTCTGGTGACCTGTGTTTTTGTTGCCCGAAAAGGCCGTTTTCGTGTGAACAGAAGGCTAAAAATACCCTAATACGTGTGGATGGGGCCTCAAATTCCTGCAAGCAAATGCGATGGCTTTACGGGTATGCTGCAAATGAATCCACCCTTTATGAGCAAAACAGCAGCTCTGCATGAGTATTACGCATGTTTGTACTTTTCTTCGTTGTCCACTGCACGACGTGAAACTTCCTAATGCGACGTTTTGTGAAGGATCTCGAACGCACGGCGACCAAGTATTGTTATTGGATCGGGATGCTGTCCTTAAAATACAAATCCCAGAAATTTCTTCTCCTTTTTTTAATTGACAAAACGCGACATAAGGACCATGAAGATTTAAATTAACGCAAATTCGTTTCCTTTAATCACATTCTTATCTCGAAGGTGTAAATGGAAACCGATATTAGGAAATCTGTTTCTGTCGCCTCGATCGTCTGACTTATGTCCTAATTTTTCATAAGTACGTTGTTTTACTAAGTAGGAAGTGTTCACTGAAAGCCGCTTTGTTCCAACAGCATATGTCTATATAGTGAAGTGAAGTGAATACTTTATTTAAAGAGGGTAAAACTTGACAGTTATAACATCAACTGATAAACTTGAGGTCCTCGATACTGGTTATATATGTAGTAGGGTTATTTCTGACCCAACGTACTTGGCCAAGTCGAAATTTCCAAACTATTATTATTTCATGGTAAACACCTCTTTCCCTCTCACTTACACGTGTAACAGACACCTCACTAAAACCTCCTGAAGTACTTTCCTGAAAGTGTTGGTCCCTGCTGTTCTTAATTGTTTTTGTTGGACTTTTTACGAGGAAAATAGTTTAGGATACCCAGTTTAAACCTCGTTTTTGAAGTGAAATCTCATTAGCATGAAGTGGAACAAATAAGTGTAGGTGACATCTTTATCTAATGAATTAAATGCGGTAGAATCTTATCAAGATAACGTCTAAGTTATACGAGCTATTTTTATGTAGTTTCTAGTGTAACCAGTTATTCTGGCATTAATGATGTAACTTGCAGGAATCATGTTCTTATTTGGTGTATTTGGTGAGAATGCTGTCATAGTTTATTTCATTGTCCATTGCAGACACCCTTTTGGCCTGGTTCCGGTTCACTACTAAAGTGGACATATCTGCTCTAGTGCCGATACCAGCGGGGGTCCGCCTTAGAGATAGCTCACGACAGCGCAGCTGCCTGAATATATACCTTCTACAAAAGCACCCTACCTTTTTCTCCATTAACTACAGTATTTACTTTCTTTCTTACAGCCGAATGGGTCAGAACTGTTTCATTTTGTTGATGGATATTCATCTTGGGATGCCTACCTCACTAGCATGATGGTAGATGGTACATGGGGTGATCACGTGATTCTACACGGCGCGGCAAACTGTTTTGAAACGTGCATCCACGTGATCAGCAGTCTGCCACATTGCCATGACGTAATGATCTGTCCAGAGTATGATGTTACTGGCAGCAACCGGCTTGTGCTGGGTCACGTGCATGGGCTTCACTATGTTAGCCTTATTCCTTACTCGAGTGATTTAAGGCATCCCTCCTCGCTCCATTTTGAGCTTTTGTCATTTCTTCTTGTTTTGTCCGCCATCTTCTTTCATTTTTACTTAAACAGGTGTGCTTAAGATTGAAACCATTTTTGAAGCTCACACTTTGCCTCTTAAGGTCACGTGACCAGTCACGCCCATAATTATGCAAATTAAGTATTTTCAGATTACGCCATGAAGATGGCAGTTGAAGCTCCCGTTTATTTTTACCTAGGGTTAAGTTTAAAGTCAAATTAAACGGAGAATTGCAAAATGTTTTATTCCTATGCAATTATCAAATGTTTTCTCCTCGACACAGTCCCATTCTCAACTGAAAACGTTATAGTTCACTGAAAACACCGATTAATTCCATAAACCTTGTGTTAATAGTCATTGAAAGAAAACAAAATAAATCTTAACTAGTATTTGTAAAATGTCGTAAAATTGAAGCAAACTAAATGGCAAAAAATGGGCGTGACAAGTCACGTGACTAAGATAGCTCCTTGGTGACAAGGGATAAGAATATTTTTGAAGACGTATTTACCGCATGCAAAGTTTCAAGTCGAAAAGTTAAATCTGCTTTAAACTAGACTACCCCCTTACAAATTTTAAGAGACCCATTCCTTAATTAACCTGAGTTATGTCTGATTACACTTCAATCCAAGAGTTCTGACCTCGCGATATTAAATTCAATTAAATTCAATTCAGGAGCAAATCAGGTTTGCTTCAGGTGCAAATCGGGGTAAGAAAGACCATAACTGGAGACCTTTTCCAGTAATGGGATTGGTTCCATCAAAATAGCCAAATGTGCTATTTTTAGCACAAATTTTGCCATCTCGTGCGACACGCGCATTTTTTGCGAGGGCGCCGCGTAAAGGATAAACAACCAAAGTGGTGTCGGAAATTGCCATTTCTGTCATAATTGCCTCCTCTGAATTTGAGGCGGAAAGTTAACAAAAACAGCAGATAATTATGGTTAATATTCCTACAATACATCTTTGAATTTATGATAAATACAGCTCTACCACCTTCAAAAAGCGTCTACCGGCAGAACATCACGGAAATAATACTTTAAATATAATAATTTTTCCACTCAACGTTCTCCTTCGCTTCGTGGCGCAGTGGTCTAGGAGCCGACCTTCCGTGAAGATGGTCCATGTTCTACTCTTGGCTAAGCTATTTTATCTTTGCTGTGTAATTTTTTTTTCGTTTTCTTTTTGTTTTTGTTTTCAATCATATTTTTCCCCTTGGCTTGTTTTCCGTTATTCTTACTGCTGGTCCATTAGAGCCTCTCGAGGTTTTTGCAGTAAACGTATTTCTAGTGATGTTTACATCATATTGACTAATTCTTTCACTGTGCTTGCATTGCCTATCGAGATATGAAGCACTTGGACTGTTCAGAGAGCACTCAAAGAAAGTCGCAAAACGATCGCCTGTCTCCTGAAATTTCACAAGAGAGCCGCGCAAATTTGCGTGTTCCCGCGCTCGTTTTTGACGTTGAGGGTGACGCAGCTTGTTTTAAAAATAGTACATTTGGCTGTTTCGATGGAGCCGCGTGGACCTCGCGCTTGCGGCCTCCCACTCCCATTATGGCTCCTGGTAGCTCCTTATTCGCTAAGCTGTTGACAAGGAACAAGCCGTCTATTTTTCTTCATGTACAGTTTTTTAATCCGTCAATGTTATTGTGACGGCACAAGTAGCCTTTTCAATGCAAACCTTTTATGTCTCAGAAAAAGTCATACACAGTCGTCTTTAGCACTACGATAAACTGATTACTTTAGTATTCTCAACAGATTTTGTTTGTTAGGGACCATCTTGTCTACAGTCCCCTGTAAATACTCCGGCATTAGACCTTCTTGTAGTTTAAGTCCTAGCAAAATGTGTTTACTAATTATTACTAGTGTCTCAGTTTGCGAGTAATGTCGCGGATTATTATTACTGTTTGCGGCGAGTGTGAACACTGGGTCTTAACCGTCTGTAAGTATGCAGGTCAGAAACCTTTTTGTAGCATTTTCACCATAATTAAGGGTCATGTAGTAGCTGCTTGGAAGAGAAGTCACCAATGGTGCGTTTTCCTGACCCCAAACAATACTAAAACAATTCGAAGAATGACATGTCATTGTTTCCTGTGACCAATTAGAAGAGACCTTCCGAGCAGTAAGGTGTTAAGAACAGTTCTGCTCCAGCTGTTTCTTGCCTGCAGTGTCGGGTTTAGTCCTGAGTAAAATTTGTTCGTAAAGGATCACTCATATCTTAGAATGGTCAAAACACATTTCCAGTTGAATCTGTTCGCTTAGAATCGTTTCTGTTTCAGGTGCTCCTTATCAATCTGTGAATATTTTCAGCCAGGTTTCATTGAATTGTAATGATTTGTTAAGTATCATTTCTGTCTGCCAGTAATCCTTATCTAGTGTGTGAATACAGATTGAAGCCTCTCATCATCCCCCGTCACGGGAGAACACCAATTCCTTATCATAATTTGTAGGTAAGTTTTATAATAGAATTCACTTACCAGAGTATTTTTCTTATCATGCTATGTAACCATGTGTAAATATTTTTCAAAGGCCATTCCTTATATTTTGGTGCATCAAGTAAATATAATTTATGGTAAAAGTAGTTTGGTTTTAAAACGTTTCCTTAATCTACCTAGTTACTGAGAGTCTTTTTACAATAAACTATAGTTTAAATACTTATAAATTAAAACTTATACATTTTCTCGGTTGAGTCATCGGTCCGAGTTCATGTATGCTGCCATCTGCCCACCCCTTTGAGTTTTCTTTCGCTGAATCAACCGTTCTCCGTCTTCAGGTAAATTGCAAAACGTTTTTCGTTGTTATTCTGAATGGCATCTGTCTACTTGCTCTTAATATTAGGGTAAAAACTGTGAGGGAAAACTATAGCTGCAACTACAAACACCAACTAAAAAGACTCTGAAAAATAAGCTAAAACTGAATAAATGAAATAATTATCAAGCTTATTTATGTGACAATTTTTGAAATAAACGTAAAGTAGAAATGAGGAAATTTGACTGTAATTCCTTTATAATAACAGGTAACACTAATTTTAAAAAGGAATTAACTAGCTTTGTATCGAAATCTGTCTGGGGAAATCCAGCTATGAAAGTCAAAGTTGCAACTGAAATTCGCCGACACACAGCCGGCGCTGAAGCTTTTGTTTTTCGACCGTTCTCTGAGCGACTGTTATAAATGAACACTGAGGAACAAAATAATACACACAGAAGTTATTTTTTGAAAAAATTTATTTGAAAACCCAAATGTTTCTGTACTCAAATGAAATTCGCTTATTCCAGCGTAATGTGCCCGTTTAAACTCAACTAAAATTTTTAATCGATGCGATGAAAACTTCACAACAAAGCTGTCTCGAATTTGAGCGTGTTTCCTAAAATATTTGCTTGAATTTAGCATCAGCTTGACCAAAAAAGTCAATAGCACAATCACAAAATGTACCTTAAATCTTCGCTCGCTCGATTTTCCTTCAGCCGATTCTAGCCGCGAGGAAAACAGTGATTAATTCATCCAGGGCAAATTTGTCGCTTGATCTTTTGTCTTTTTTCCTTCAAAACGAAGCTTAGTATTTTCTTCAACTGCCACTTTTTATCTGTGCATTTCATCGGTAGTTATCGGTGTATTTTACCGTCAGGAGAGGAGATTGGTTGAATTTGCCTAAATTTTACCGCGCTAGCTCAGTTTCTTGGCGTGTACCCACGGGAAATGGTAGTGGCTTAGTGACCAATCAGAGCGCGCGATTTACTTTTGTTATGTTATAATAATAGTTATTATTTTTCTATTGCTCAAGTGACCGCCAAAACTAACCGAGAGTTTTAAAGTTTCCTCTTGGTTTCGCGACGAACAAATCCAAGACTTCAAAGCCCGTTTTTTAAATAATGATTTTTCTCAGCTAACTAATAATGCAGTTTGAAGGTCGAACGAAGTTTATTCAATTGAAAGCGCTCGTATCTTACCAAAGACTCGCTGAGCTTAGGCTCCACTGATCGTCAAGTCTAAATAAGTATAGGTGTGTTTGTTGCGTTAGTAGCCCTTTGTACCATACGTGACAGAACATGCATCTCCCGCGTGACTCGGTCAAATTTTGCGTTCCATTAACAAAGCCCTTTGTATGAGCAGCATACATGCTAGGAAACTGGGACGAAATTTTTGCGGGTTCACATTTTTGCGATTTTTTCATGTCTGCTCAATTACAATTTGTCTCTTTCGTTCAGAAGCAAAACAGGTATACAATGACATACTGATTTTACATAGGGTACACACTCCGTAGTTGTATGAGAATATGTATTTCCATTGCACATTCTCAATAAGAAAACGAAATTATTATCAATGCTGAGTCCGGGACTTTCTGAAAATCACAAAAATTAATTCCCAGAAAGAAAAACCAATCTGCTCTAATCACAAAAATTAGTTCCCGTAAAATTAACTCCCCCCAAAATTTCGAGCCACCTGCTGGTATAAGAGCAAGAAATTAAAAGGGCCTACAATAACACCTGAATCCAAATTAGTACCACCCCTTAGGCTTCAGATATTAAAATAAGTATTAAAGGGACAATATCATGATTGTGTGCACACACAAACATCATGTGTTTTTTCTTGAAACGACAACAGAACTGTCACACTCAGATCCAACAAGATTTTCTTGCAAATTAATCTCCGACAGAGTTCCTTTGTTTACATTAATCTCAAGTAATATTTTACACTTTCAACAAAGTCTTTCATTTTATTTAAAATAACTGGCTTCCTTTTTACAGTCCTCGATCCAGCTCAGTTAAAGCAATGAAAGCAACGCCAAAAACTACCAATTCACTCAAATTAAAACTAAACGGGAACAATATATCGTTAGTAACGAATTCACAACTGAGCACGATGCAAGGTTCTATAAAAGCATGTGGATCTTTTGAATTCTCAACATCCTGTCAGAAAATCTAAGTTTGGTACATGCGCAGTAATGGGATAGTGTTCGTTTAAGCTTCCGGCCTCCCCTTTATATAAGCGACCACCTTTAACACCTTGCCTTACTAAATACATGGTATACTGGCCACAGTTCCTGGAAAGCCGATTAAACTATCCCCCGATTAGCAGCAGTTAAACGACGATTAAATTTCTTATCCTTAGGATAACTGATCAAGGTATAAAAGCATGTTCCTTAAAGCAGATTTATCTCTCGATTAGCTAATCCTGGATTAGTGACAGTTTAAACCGGATAAACCAGTTTTTAGAATATTTGGCGCGCAACATTTGCATTTCGCGCAGAGGAAAAAAGTGCACGAAAGGAAAATAGTGGAAAAAGAAGTGATGGAAGTTGACACAGAGGCCGAAAGGAAAAGAAAACCAAATTTTTCTATTAACGAAATATCTCTCATAACAGAAAGTATGCTCAAAAATATTGATATAATTCAGTCAAAGTTGGCAAATAACATCACCAACAAGTAAAAATACCAAATATGGGAAGAAATAACGAAAGACGTGAATGTGGTGGGGAAAGCAAATCGTACTGTTCAAGAAGCAAAAGACAAGTGGGAGAATCTCCACTCGACAGAAAACAAAAACAAAAACAAAACAGAAGGAACTTTGTAACTTCTCAAAAGATGGCTTCCATCACCAACCCCTTGCCCTGGATGAAACTTTTTCTACTTGGCAATGACATTGTTGGCATAAATGATTCATTTATTTTCGCTTTGTGTTCCCTACCATTATCGTTGCGCACTGCTTGTAAATTGATGGAGTGAAATCCTTTCCGATTAACAAAATCGTTTCGTTCGTGCTGGGTGCCTGAATCCTCACATGGGTCCCGTCGACGCAGCCAATTACACCAGGGAATCCTCCCTTGTCGTAAAACCCTCGCTTGACTACTTGCAGTTCGGCGGGAGACGGCCACAAAATTAATTTTTTCTGCTTCTGGGCTAGAGCAAGCGACACATCTTTTACCACCCTTGAGACAGAGGATTTTGGGAGGCCGACGGTGTCACCGATGGGTTGTAGAAAGCTGCCGCTCACAAAGAAACCCAACGCTACAAGAATTTGTAGTGTCGGCGACAGCGCATGGTTTCTCTTCGTCTGTCGCTGCAGATGGTTTTCAAGGATTCCTGTGAGAAATTCAATAGAATCTCGGCCAAATCGGTATCTGCTCCGAAGTTCCTCGTCTGAAAAGTCGTCAACAAAAATTTCGTGATGACGAAACACTTTTTTGCGTATTTTTGGAGGAATTATTGGGATTAGTAAGTCCGCCAT